ATAAATTTGTGTATTCTAATTTTTCCTACATACCTGAATTTATCAAAACTGTTTCATATTTACACTTACAAAACGTCGGGATCAGCTCTCTGAAATCTTTCCTGCTCAAGTTTGGAATGTTGAAACAATTGTTGCGTTTATGTGGAATTGTGGAAAATAATATAAACTTCATTTCAAGTACTTATTTAATTCACAACTCAACTCAACTCAAGTAACTCGCTTATCATAAACATGCATTTTAATATGCTTATCAGCATGCATATATCCGCTTTGCCATATCTGCGTGGAGTATCCTGCAAAGGACATTATCACATCATGACATTTCTTTACAGCGCATAAATGCTGAGTTACCACCCATTTTGTGTTGAAAAATGCACTGCCATTTTGTATTTTATTGCTGTTGTTGTACAACAACAGTTGCTGTTTGCATTGTTATTTGGATTTGTTGTTTGCTTGTCTATCTCCCCATCTCTCTGTCTGTCTGTCTGTCTGTGTGTCTGTGTGTCTGTTTGTCCGTCTGTCAGTCTATCTGTCCGTCTGCAAGATTGTAGTTGCTGAGTTACAATCATAGCTGAGATGTTTATTTGCACTCATCACAAATTCCGTTGCATCCGCTGCGCACATTTCGACATTTACTTTCCCTTTAGTTGTGGCAGACTTCCTTAAAAGAACATTTATTCACAATTTATTCATCTTTTTCATCATTTGCATTTAGTTATGCAAAATAATTTTAATGCTGCCATTTTTTCATGTCAAAGGAAAGCGAATAAAAAATATGCAAAAATGTAAATACATTAAGACTGAAAAGTTTTCGGAAATTCTCATTTAAAATTCGCGCGCTGTATATTTTTCGATATTTTAAGTTTATGTAGTTTGGCAGCACTGTCCTTAATTACTATGCCAAAAATGAGCTCGATCTGTCAGACAGTTCGTTTACGGCAGCTGTTGAAACCAGTTCACCTCAGTAGTGCGTTGCGAAATGTCTTCGACGGTCGTACGACCGTCCTGGAAGGCTTTGTACCACTCATAAACTTGAGTTTTCGATAAAACTGATTCCCCATAAGCCTTTTGTAGCATTCGCAACGATTCTGCACACGAAATTTCGTTCGAAACACAAAATTTGATGCAAACTCTTTGTTCAATATTTTTTTCCATTGTTTTTTTCGCAACGCCCTACTGAGGTGAACTGGTTTCAACAGCTGCCGTAAACGAACTGTCTGACAGATCGCGCTCATTTTTGGCATAGTAATTAAGGACAGTGCTGCCAAACTACATAAACTTAAAATATCGAAAAATATACAGCGCGCGAATTTTAAATGAGAATTTCCGAAAACTTTTCGGTCTTAATGTAAGAATGTAAATATTTTGAGACAAACTTCGCAGAACCACAAAAGCAGTTAAAAAAGCAGCTCCAAACAATATTTACTGGAATTATTTATTTAAAATTATATTCGAGTAAATTTTTATTTCCATAAATTTTAAAATATTTTATTTTTTAAATAAAATAAATGGAATCTGTTGTAAAAAATGTCCATAACAAAAGTTGTTAACAGTAATCAGCAGAAGTTAGTGCAAACTTTTAAATGGTGTTTAAAAATGTCACCAATTCTTAAAAAAGGACAAGAATTCATCAATCAATCAACTTTTTAAATTTAAATATTTTTCTATATACAAAGCTGGTTGCAGCTCACACAAAATGCAACAGAGTTTAATTTCTGATATATACAGACAGTAAATCTGCAATGGAAGTACTAAAAAATCGTAATATATGTAATAGCTGCGAACTTGTCTGCGATATCAGAAGCAACTGCATACGTTATACGTTATACTAACAATATTAAAATCATGTGGGCTCTTGAGCATACAGAAATCTAATGTAATGAACGAATAGATCCTGCTATTTCTGACGACAACCGTACTCTCCCTTGTTCTTATGCAATACATTTGAAAAAAAGAAATATATTATATCGAAAACAAAGATATAGAAAATGAAAAAGCATCAGACACGACTGGTAGCACAGATATACAGACGTTGTACGTTGAGTGTTGTCTGCGCATATAGAACAGTGACTGACGATGTAATACGTATCATTGCTGGAAAGCTGCAGAAGAGCTATGGCGCCTTTATGGCAGGTAAAGCATGACACCAAGACATATCAACAAATTGAGTTCTCCTGATGAAGGCAAAAGCGAATTTGCCGAAAGGAATGTACAAAAAATACGTTAAAATCCTAAAAAACAAAAACCGAAATTAAAATAATTTGTCAAACGCTCATATTCATTTAAAGATTGACAGCAAAGATGGAAACAGTCCTCTGTTGATAAATGATGGATCTATGCACGCAATGCCAATATTAAAATATGAGTGACAAAAAACATGGTGAAGTGGTCACCGATATAGAAGATGAAAAAGCAATGGAATGGTAAGGATACCATTGCTTTAAGTCAATCAATGTATTGACATTGAATTGGGTTAAAAACAAAATACCTACAATGATGCACCTGTCCACAATTTCAAATTTTTATTCGAGTACAAAACTAGCACTTTTGACCTTTGAAAATACCTTTTGAGTGACGATCAGCCATCAAACTGTCTATTTTGTAATAGTCCATCTTGAATAGATAATACACTCAACAATTGCTTTACTTTTAATTCTATTTGGAGGAATGTATTTTCAAAAATTATATATACAAGCCTATTAAAACAAATTACTATTGAAAACATACTGCTGACTCAAAAATATATTAAACCCTATAATTTAGTCAATAAAATAATAATAGTATCCGAGCTGAAAGCCTTAGAAGCTAGTGTCCATTTTCTCAATTTAGTTATAATATTTTATATTTTGTAATTAATTGCAATAAATAATATAAATAAATGTATGACGAAAAAGAAAAATTTAAATTTTTTATATATATTTTGTTCATATTATTTAAATTTTTTGGGTGACTACACGACTGTTTCCAATATTGTGAAATACTCATCAACAGTAGTCTTTGCAAATACTACAAATTTTAATTGAAGTAATTATGTCAGCGCTTGATCTAATCCTCCATGATCTTATTTAGGTATGGCCTTCAAGTTCTACAGTGAATTGTCTTGTATAGCCACAATAGGAAAAAAATGACTTGCTTGAAGTTGTAATTTTAACGTCAGGAACTAAAAAAAAGGGGAATGGGACATTCATAGTGTTTCATACCAAAAACTTTTACACAACAATGATTACTCAAAAAAATATTATTATATTATATTATTACTACTCAAAAATATTATTGCAAAAGACACCTGATGAAACTGAAAATGGCAACTGAAAGATCGAAGTCAGGAGTAACATCAAAAAGGTTTTCAAATTTTAAATCTCTTCACAGAGTATGTTCTTCAAGGATATATTCTCTATTTACATAAATGATTTTTTCTCAGTTTTTCAGTTGAGTGTACCGAATCGCATGGATATGCTAATACTATATATATATGTTTATATATATATATATATATACATGTATAGTCAAACTTCCATAACTTTTTGAAATCCAATTTTGCAAACAAAAGGTTCGACTTATGGAGACTTCGAGTAGAAAATTTTTTTATTTTTGAAAGAAACTAGAATTATATATTTCAAGATATTTATTTATTTACAATCAAATAAAGCACAGAAGTTATAGTGAATAAAATATTCAGAAATTAGGGTTTGGGACTTTAAAATTTTTCTTATTTTCAGTAAAAAGATATTTCAAATTATTCATACTCTTATAGTGATCATCAGTTGTAGTGTGATTCGTTTGCAAATATAAATTTAGAATTTTGAATGAGTCTCCCACTTCATTCTTGGAAGGCTGATGAACAATTACATTCACCAACAGTGACGATATTGCTCAATAATATCGTCATCTGTAGGAAAGCTTGATGTGCAAATTTCATTGTCAAGATCAATATAATCGTTAAGAGTGGCACTGGAATTATTTTATTTACTTTAGACCACGCTATCATCGATTGGCAATTACACAGGGAAACAACATAAGAAGGAAAAAATTAAACATTTGGTTTGGAAAAAGGGACTAACAGCAAAATACATTTATAACTTACACAGAATTTTGACTTATAGAATGCACTTTCCCATATTCCTATTAGCAAGTGACAATATTTTTATTTGAGTTATAGAACTTCGACTTATGGAATCAGAATTGGATGTAATTTGCTCTCTAAAACCTTGTTGCACTCTTTTTAGTTCGAGTAATAGAAAATTCGAGTTATAGAAGCTCGAATTATGGAAGTTTGACTATATATTCATTGCATTAGTGTTAAAGTTACAAAGTGTTAACGCGGTAAATATTGGATATTGGAATCACTAGCCATTGCACAAAGTTAAAACCTGAAGAGGTTAATAAGGGTTTGACATATATTTTTTTGATAAATGTCAGATCTTGGACATATAACAATATAATGTGTTAATTTTTACTTGTGGTCTTGTTGTATTTTAATGTTAGACTAAGATCTAAAAGTGGAAAGTGTTTATTATCAAGACAACATGGTCACCTTTTTCCAATGTGATTTTGAGGAATTGGTTATCGTCTTCCATTTATAATTTAAGAGTACAATTAATTAATACAAAAATTCAAAATGAGAGAAAATATAGATTTTCCTTTATTTTTTATTAACATAAGCATTAAAAATTGTTTACGTTATTGATTTAAAAAATGTAAATTTTGCTTAATAATACTTAGACTAATATGAAACATGGTACAATAACTAGTTTTTTATCAACAAACTTTTCTTCAAATAGCAATAGAATAATAGCTTCTTAAAGATTTGTAATTGTAAAAATAAAAATTATATAGAACAAAGATTTTTTTCTTAATATTAAATTTGAGAGTTTTATTAAAGCACTAATACTGATTATTGCACTTTTTTATGAATAATTCCATCAAGGAGACTTTTTAGAATGGAAATGTTTATAAAAAACTTAATATGTTTATCTTTTAAACAACTTACACAAAATAAATTTACTCTCAGTCGATAATTTATTTCTCAGTAATTTTTGTTTTTTGTTCTTGGCAATACAGTCTGTGTTAATAAAAATACAAGATTTTTTAGTACACATAATATAGCTTAAAAAATCACACTACAACAATTTAGTTATATAAAGTTAACTCTATATTTACTTTAAGTATCTTAAATTCTGGAAAATTAACTATTTTTATGTTTCATCAGCAATCAGAATCATATGAAGCTTCAAAGCTATTGGTAAAGTTAATTAACACAAATATCAATATCGAGCCAATGGCTGAACCGAATTGCGTTATCCCGCCTGTCCAAACAAGCGACTTTCCGCCTTGGGCCCGCATTACAGATGTTATCGAGAGCTTAATATAACTCACGAGGCCTACTAAAAGTGTCCACGTAACAATCTAAAAAGAAAAACCAATTACATTTTATGAGTGGAAAATTTTAAATAAACAATTCAATTTTTAGGTATTTACCACAATCGCCGCTCCTGCATCCGTTCCATGCAGTGGAGGTAGTGGGCTCATAGCGGCTGTTACGAAAACATAACTCGTTAAACACGCCGCAATACCTGATAACGTTAATATCGATTTTAAGGAAGTATGAGGTAAAAATAAAGCTAAAAAGCAAGCTACGGGGTTCGCTATAACACTAAGTGTAGCTGATAAATGATAAGTCTGACTTCCATACGGTAGACAAGAATAAGATTGAATACTATTCAACATGCCATTACTAAAAAGCGTTACAATTCCAATTAGTGTTAACAAAAGCCAATATTGTTTTGATGTAATTTGTGTACGAAATATTTGTTCCAAATCATCTTCCTGTGATCTTCTGGTTTTATCGTTCTCATCATAACTGTAGTCCATACCATTTGATACATGCATTGCTGCGTATTGTCTTTTCGCCAATTTCAACCGATCTAACAGCGTAAAACCAATACAACTGCAAACCATCATGACAAACACAAATATGAAAAACTCCATCGTACCAAAACGTGGCGCAGGGGTTTGTTTCTCGTAAATCGGTTGTCCTTCTTCAGTTGTGTTCACTTGTACGCAGACCGAAGCACCACCAATACCTTGTATTAACGCAACAACACTCGGCAATAAACCACTTAGTCCCTCTCCAACAAAATATGTTATTAGATAAATTTCCTTGAATCGACCCATATAGGGCATGAAGAGCACTGAACTTGTGCACGCAGTCAATGCGGTAAATATTGTAAGAATAAAAAGTGATAAACTATGTTCTTTGCCAAAGATAATTGCAGTCTCATTATAGAAGAACGATGTTAATAGAGATGATACTGTTCCTATGAAAAGCATGATGTAAATGATTTTGCCATCTTTAATTTTATAATTAGAACACTTTTCTATTAAGGTGTAAGCTATGGGACCAAGGTTTCCAATTTGTACCATAACACTGAGATATGATGGCAAAGACCAGCCTTCTGGAGCCACTTCCACAAGAAGTGGTAGTTGTATAAAAGTACCATTGATCCCAATCCAAGTGCCGATTCCAAAAAAAATTGCCAACAAATCAACAATTAAGCTTCGCTTCATTGAAATTAATCCTCTTTCTTTCATTACTGATGATTTTGATAGTTGCCACCTCCACTGTTAATAACTACAAATATATAAAATAATTAAAATTTTTTATATAATTTTATAAGTTAAAAAAATAAAATTAATTATTGTATTTAAATTTTAGTTTTATTCTAAAATTATTGTTGTTTATTATTATTATTTGAGTACAAAATAAAATAAATGTATGTATATAATAAAATAGTAATAATATATATAATAATATAATACATTATTTATAAATTATTATAATATCATATTTAGAATATTTCCGTCTAGATAGAAACTTAGTTATTGGTTCAAAAATTGCTTCAATGTTACGTTTATTGGTAGCTAAAAGTTAATTTGAATTTATTATATTATTATTAATTAAATTTCGAGACCCTTTCTTGCAACAGTATAAAGCCAACGAGAAACTACTGTGTAAATCTGATCAATAAATAAAACAACGATTTCTGGATGCATCAAGACATCTAAGTCAACGCCTTTCTGTGAAACACTATATCTTTCCTCTTAATCAAACCCGTTTAAAATCTTTATATTATTTGTTGACCAGTATCAATAGCTGATTATAGAAATTTGAATAACGACTTTAATGGATTATAATAGATCATACTGCATGATATCCTTGCAAAACCACTGAACATTTAACAACACATATATTGTCATCATTCCCATCTTTATCTTTTAAAGAGTTTTATTTTTTTATGAACAACGCAACTTTTATTTTATTTTTCGATTTCTGAATAGAAACTCAATCTATCAAACTCCATTCTCTTAGCCCATGAGACAACTAAACTTTAATATTATAACCAATTTTGTACAAAATTGTATTGTCATTAACCTTAAGTTATTATTAAGTAATGTTCTAATGCTACGTATTTCTTTCTGAACCATTCTGAAATTTATAGTTTCATTGAAGCTTTTTGTCGCACAAGGCAATCAATTTTTTTACAGAATGTAAGCGATGAAACGATGTCAGACTAGAACAATGTCAGACGAAGGAGCACCATTGCCAAAAGCTGTACTATGAGCTCAGAGTCTAGATGTGTTTAACTTGCTAACCTACCACGGTTTATTCTAAAAACAAATGTATCAAGATAATGCCCCGATATACGCCTCATTGGAAAATCTCTGCTTACCTTTGGGTCACAATACCCGGTGAGAATACGCAACTTCACGCTGAATGAAAATAAAATACAATCATTCTTTCCGCGTGAGTTAGGGTTTTACTACTGCCAACTTCAATTGATCAGGACAGCCGAAGCTGCGAGCACTGAACCCCGTAGTACCAAATATACACCTTCGGTCGTGTATCGCAAATGAATCTGGATAAATAAAAGTTATTTTATAGATAGAGATGCACCAACAAAAAAAATATTTGAAGCGGTAGTTGGAGGAAAAAGGCGTAGTAGTGAACCGTGTCTCCGCTGGAGTGATCAAGTTGAAGAAGCACAAACCGGACTTAATGTACAAGACTGGAGAAGGTGGAGAGGTACCTCTGAAAAAAATTGCTGCCGAAACCCGGAAACGGGTTGTTAATATTAAACAGGTACGCGATTAAACGACTTTTATTCGATTTTTTTCATTTTACGAAAAAATAATTGCAACAGGTCAATAACTTGTACAGGTCAAGTCTGTTTACAACTGACCCGAATCTTGAACATATCACGGCACATGATATGTTAATCTGTCATTTGTCAAATAAAAGCAAATAAAAGATACTTAATTGAATCTTACAAAATAATTGGTTTTTAAAGATAAGTGAACAAAAAATCTCAATACTCTTCTTCAAACTCTATAATATTAATATGTAAATAATATTCGTAAAAGAACATTATTAAAATGCAGATAAAATAATAATACTTGAATAATTTTGTAAAACATATTTCTAACTAAAATGTCATCAATTAAGTCTCTTCCATATGCATGAGTAGGTATAATCCTCATGTCCAAGGTTTTGTGATGAATTAAAAATTCCGATAATAATATAGTAGTTGCAACTTTATAGTATGGATAAGTTATTAAAATATGGTGAACTTATCCAAGCCAAACAAAAAAAAATAATTCGATGCTTAAAATCGAAAATACTTAATTCTATTTTTAACAGCAACAATACATTAAGAATGTTAGTGATTTAGGTACGCAATTAAGAAATCCAAAACCTATCACTCAACTACTCCCCAAAATCAATGTATGGCCTATATTCCGCTTAAATAATGCGCCCAATAAAAGAGTCTTAAACATCTGGTTCTCTCGAAACTAGTTTAATTTTAAATTTTTAAATACAAATATTAAATTAAGTATTGATATTTTTACTCATTTAAGTTTTGAATAAATTACTTCAATTATTTAATATTTTTTTATTACAGTAAAACTATTTTTTCTATAAACATATATAAAAATATTTTAAGGCATGACTTATTCAAAAAAAATATATAAAAATAAGTTATTAAATAATTAAGTTGTTATTATTATTAAATTACTATAAAAATCAACAAAAATAATTTGATGTAAATTAAACTAAATTACCTTAATTTGTTCCATTATTTACGCCTAATTTCAATACGAAATAAATTCAAATTATAAATTGTATATAAAATGACTAATCTTTTGTATCAATAAATTTTGGTTATGAATATCAGATAGAAACAAAAAACCTACTTAAATTCATTACATCAGAGATAAGATATTACAGTGCTATCAAGTACTTCATTATGAATATTACAAAATTCACTTTCTTACAAAACACAATTGCATTGAGATTACAAATTTGAGATAATGAAACTCTAATGTCAACAGATAGAGATACGCGCTGGCATATAGTATATATGAAGATATTTTACAAGATTTAAGACTTTAATATCACAAGTGTTTAGAATTAAACATATCTATATCTACACTTTAAAATGTTAATGATAGGAGCTAATAGACAATAGATGAAGTGCTAGAAATAAACATTAGATAAGTGAAACTGAAATTGAAATTAGTAACTTAAATACATAAACACAAGATAAAAATTTAATAGTGCCGCATAATTTACCAATCGAAAACTGTTAAACATCTTATCAAGATAATTTGTAGGGTGCAATAATCCTACTTATAAGATAAGGCGTAGAAAACTACTGTGTTTTAGTCACGATTTATATAACTGAAAGAATTTATAACTTAAGCATTACAAAGCGATATTTTTAATTATTTAAATTATTACTTCAAATTATCTGAGTGTTTATTTTTAATAAAATTTAAGACTATATTTCAAATTTAAAGAAATTAAGCGCCGGTAGACAACTTAACTTATTGCGACCCATTTCGTAGCACAGTTCTCAATTTTCGTATACATAACCTCATATAACGCATAAAGCTTCCCTGGTCAGTGCGATAATCCTAATTATTTTTTAAAGTAATTAATAAGTTATGACGGTAACCACTCGATAACTTTATTAATATACACCGGAAATTGAAGTATTTTTGCCAATCTTCTTTAGACACCACCAGAAAATGGTTTTTAAATGCAACAACGGCTTCTTCCGCCGACAGAAATCATAAGCGTTCTCCACGCAATTTATTCTTGACGCTCGGGAACAAGAAGAAGACATTGGGTGCCAAATCAGGATAGTCCGGTGGATGATCCATCAATTCAATTTTTTAAATGCTCAAATAGTCGGTTGTTAGACGAGATGTGTGAGCACTTGCATTGTCTTGATGGAGATGGAGAATAATCCGACGACGCTTGTTTGTTTTCCGGTAAACAAATGGTTGTATACAACTCGGAATTAACAGTTTTACGTTCCTGCAATGGTACTCGTATAGTTGCCACTTGACTAGTTTTCCCAAAAAAACAAGCAACCATATATTTCAAAGTGCTTCGAGTGCAAACAACTTCTGTTGGACTTGGTTCATCTTGAAACACCCATACAGTTGACTATTCTTTACATTCAGACTCATGTATATATCCATTATTCATCACCTATGACAATCTTATATAAGTCTTTTGAACCAACGTCATTGTACTTCTCGAGCATTTGTGTGCTGTGTGCACCAATCGACAGGATCTTCTTTTTGAGATTTTGTAAACTGATGGGGATGGGATCAAACAATATCAATATTTTCTGGTACAATAATAGATTTTAGACGACCTTCACGACCTGCGACCATCGTTTCAATTAAAATCATTGTACCAGCGTTTTACAGTGGCAAAGGATGGAGCTTCATCTCCAAATGTAGAAGTAAGTTCATCGATGCACTCTTGTCTTGATAATCTACGTCGAAAGTCATGATAAATCATCGCACGAAAATTTTCTTGCGTTATTTCCATTTTTTCGCGAACACTCAATTTACAAATTACTGTAAATAATACAAATAACGCTCTTTTGACAAAAACTCTAAGGTAGATTATATTTAGGACGTGTGCGAGTTAGGCTAAGTTGCGTTCTAAATGAGGGAAATTCTAAGTTGTGCCGATAATGTAATGATGTGTCGACACGTGTTGATAAATAGGTAAATGTGTGCAGTGCAAAAAATCCCAAAAAATCTTCCATTTGGTTTAGCATCAACTTAGCCTAACTCCCACACGTCCTCCCAAACTTTCGTATGGAAGTGCTAGATGACACCTGATAACAATCACTGTTCCCAAAGCTCAAAATATAAATAGTGACCTTCGTATTACCATTTTGTTAGGAAATCGGAGTTTTTAGTATTTTATTCTTCTCGCAAAGCACAATAACTTAGTCTTAACTAAAATAAAGTTGAATGTGTAAGCGTGACCAATATGTTCAGTCGTTGCTCTGTCAGAAAAGATGAAATAATTACCATTATTATTATTTTATCTACTTATCAGTACCCATTAACTAATGGATAAATTAACGAACAGTCACGACTAAATGAAAAGCAGAATAAAATATCAGGTTGTAGGATATACTCGTGTTTTCGCTTGAGGAAGTCGTAGTGTGCTTACGACAACTCTTATTTTAACCCTAGTATCTAGCCTAATCCTAGGTAGTTTTCTTACAGCAAGGACAGCAAGGTCTGTATATGTCTGTAATGAATAACCGCATCAATGAATATAACGCTAAAGTTTTAATCATTTTCATGGTTCATAAATAAAAATGGAATAATGGAATAAATGGAATAAATTTTAAATCATTTTATATATAACATAGATATTATGGTATGTATGGTATGTTAGTGATTTAAATATAAAGAATTATGTGTCTTCGTATCAATTTTATTTTGCTTTAATAACAATTTCAGAGAAACGACATTTGAAATATGTTTAAAGTATATATTTATTATTATTTTAAGGCAATATTTCTTTTTAAAAAAATGTAATAACGAAACATATAAACATTTAAGTTTATATGTACCTGAAACAATATCATATGTTTATATATAATATAAAATGACTAATATTTATGTGTGTATGAATGAATTTATTGCAATTTGCAAATGATTAAGTACGTCAGCAAGTTTATTTAATTTTATTGTTTGCATTAATTTGTCTAGATATTATAAGCTGATAATTTTAATTGGAGAAGTTTTTAATCGATGAGAGGAACTAACAATAAAAGTCAACTGTATTTCGTCTGTCAATATATCGATAGAAATTATTATTTGAATTATTTTGAATGAAATCATATAAGCATTTTCACAACAAAGTAATCAATTATGTGATTATCTACAGCAGACAAAAAATAGAGAAAATATTAAAATTTAAAATTGTTGAATTTTTATTAGTTTCCGTATTATTATTACTTTGTAATAATCTTATATACCATATTAATTAATATAAATATTAGTAATATATTTTACATAAATATATTTAATATTTTCCGATATGCCTAAATGGCACGCAAATGCTATATCCAAAAAGATTCATCATCACCATACATATTAGATATAATATATGTATTTATGAATAATTTAAATTAAAATATTGAAATCTGATACTTCTAATTAATTTGGTGTATTAGTAATTTAAAAATAGTAAAAGTTATTAAACATCTGTTTTGATTCATTCTTCATGACCCGTTTAATGAAAAACGTCTAAATATTAATTACGACTTTTCTGTTGATAACTAGTTTTGCATGATTATAACACAAAATTATTAATTATTAAATAAAATTAATTTAAATTGAACAGAAATTGATTAAAAATACTAAATGCATCACCATCACCATCTCCATCATTTTATTTTTAAATGAAACTTTATACATCGGATCATATCGGATCGTAGAAACACTCATCACTCTCTCTCTCACTTTCTCTCTCTCTCTTTATCTCTCTCTTTATTAACCTAATAACTTTTCAATTAACTCAGATTGCTACTACAAATATTGTTTAATAATAGCCGTAATTGTTTCTTTCAGAGTAGCAAAAAAACACTTGCAACTTTAGAAATAAAACATGTGAAGCAACAACAATGCTCTTAAAATTTTCAGAGTTAGATTTTTGTAAGTCACGAGTATTTTTTTGCTACTCTGAAAGAAAAAATACGACTAAAATAAAAAAAGGTTATATTTTCTTTCATTAAATGTTTTACTTAATTTTATTAAATATGGCAAATTTAAAACGTTTATCCAATAATTCTTTTTTGAATCAAGTAAAACACTATCAAAAATATCATTATACTAAACACTGCGATAGAAATCAACACAGTCAAGAAGTTAAAAGAACTTTATGTGTTCCATGAAAAAGGATATATAAAATAAGGCAAACTTTAAATGGATTTGAGAGTTTACAGTGGATATCTAAAGGTAATTAATCATACCTTTGGACAGACATGATGCATCAGGCCAGAACCCGGTAATATCATAAGAATTAGTTATTAAACAAAGCTAATATATCCATTTTTGAAAGCATGACTTTAACATAATATGTATTTACTAATAAATATTAGACTTTTATTTGGATTTAAAATATAAGTTTTAATAATACAATACTAATAGAATTAGTTTAATTATTATATAAATAATACAATTATATATAGTAATGAGAGTATTATGTTGTATGTTAATATAACTTAATCCTTCAAATAATTTTTTATAATTTGAAACAGACTCGCACATGTCCTTCTTCATAAATTTCAAAAGACAGCTTATTTGTATTCATCTACAACAGAAATATTTGAAAATACAATGATATGTGCTTTAATTTAAAAATTGTATTTATATATTATAATTTGGAAACATAGGTAAAAAAATGTTTGTGATTCGACAACATTGTTTCTTACATGGTCCATTACTCAAATGTATATATGAAAATAGTAATACTTTGCCAAGCCGAATTCTCTTTTTTAATTTTGAAATCGTTTTAAGAGAGCTTAAGGTTGCTGGGCTCTAAAAACTATAACCTGTTTTTCTTCTAAACGTATGAGTTTCAAACAACTAACTAGTTCAAATTAAAAAATTAAAGCATTAACTTTATTAAAAGATATGGTCTTAAACGACTTAAGGTTAAATCTGGAAAGATTTTTTTAAGACTGCAAACAAATAAAGCTTAAAAAAAATTATTCATCTTAATAAAAAGTCCTACATCCATTGCGTTATCTTAGAACATATAACTCTAATTAAGTATTAATTTGAGATATAAAATTTTAATATATGTAGAGCATCTAGATACTGAGTTAGTGGAATTTCCCGGTAATTTATATGGCGATGATGAGATCTACTAACAAGATAGTGTATCAAATGACTATGCACAGACAACAAATTTATTTTTTGGTGATAGAAAAATTCCTGTATTGAAGTGGAAAGTATTGAATCTCGACTTAAATCTCATTAAGAATCTTTGGGCGATCCCTTCAGCCTATAATTTTAAAAATGGAACACAGTTTGATACTGCACGACACCTTAAATCGGCAATAGAACGTGGGTGGGTAAAAATTGGCATATCTATTTTACATTAATTTGTTAATTCTGTGTCAAATCGCCACAATTTAGTTTTAAATAACAAAGAAAAAAGTATTAACTATTAATATTAAAAAAAGTTCAATCACAGCAACATTTATTAAATTAACAGACCATAATAAAAAAATGCACATATAATTATTTACCATGAAAGTAATCTTTAAAAAATGTTTTAAATTTGATTTAAATTTGGTACTTTTTTGTTTCTTTATATCTTACACCATATTATAAATATAACCACATAACCAAACATTGTTATGTATTAGGTGAACTGAGATATTACGCTCGAAATAGGATAAATTGGAAAGCTTTTGTACAAAGTCTTTGTGAATGAATAATAATAATATTTTGTGAATAATGCCATAATAATAATAATAATTGTTATGTATATTCCATACTTCCATAACTGTATTTTATTTCGCTAGGAAAATAAATGAAAAAAATTTTTTTTAGTTTTTTTTTAGGAGTGTAAAGTTTGAATTTTAAAACATAGAGAACCATATCTGTAAAAATTATTACTTTAGATTATTGGTTTTAAATTAAAGTAGCTTTAAATATTTTTAACACCTGCGATTCACTGGCACACATTATAAAAAAAAATAATTTTTCACATGTTATATATCTGTATATCATATATCTCCTATATCACATATCATTTAAGAACGAATTTATATTATTTCTGTCGTTTTTATGGAATTAATGTAAAGTGGGAATTACATATGTAAAATACTAAATATACCTATGTATATTAATAGAAGAATTTATTAGAAATGCAACCTCAAGAATATGTCAAACAGTGGATTGTAAGTATAAGATTTTATATAAAGACATTAAATTTAAAAAAAAACCGATGATATAAATTTCATGTCATAAAGTAAATACAATGTAAATAAAATTCATTACCGATCGGTAATCACGATACATACAAAAATCACGATCACGAAATAATGAACTCAGAATATCTTGGTATGATCTCGTATAAATAATGTACTACTGTTATTATTGAATTGCTTTTATATGCATTTATCACTTAATAATTATTTTTTACATTATTATTACACATATTCATTCTTTTGTAATCATTAAATTTTTGTTATATGTAAAATTAATTGATACTTTTTGAAAAGCTCGCTAACGAAAAGCTCCAATGAAAACAATCTATAGTTAAAACCGGAATGGTCCACAATTTAAAAACAAACACAAATTTTTATAATAAATGTAAAAATATTTTATAAAAAAAACATAAGTCCACAGTTTTTTTTTTCTTAATAAGTCCAATTAATGTTTCACAATAGCCAAAAGCAATAATGCTTTGAGAGCCAAAAAATTAAAACAAAAATTTAGCATATTTGCGAATTTAAATTAAAAATGATTAATTTCATTTATGAAATTTTTTTTATCAATTTTTAATATCGAATTTCTTTAGTTAAAAAAAAGTCACTACTATAAAAACGTATGGAAAGCGTTAAATGTACCTGCTGAAACGATCGAAATTCATACAGAAGTCCAAATTTCACAATCGCGAACTTTATTGGAATCACCACATTCAGCGGCACTGAGTAGACTGAATGGTTCTCTCTTTGGGATGGCATATTTAATTACTTTCACATATATTTCTGCTCTGTAATACTTAATGAAAACAAACTGTTGCCTCGAAATTGTATCTCGAACCGATCGCACTCACAAATACCAAACAATTTAGACACGAGCGCCCTAAGAAGTGTATTTCACGTGAGTAAAACTCAACGGAAAACAATAATAAATAAACATGAACACGCCGAAACAATTTTGTTTAAAAAAAAAATTAAATAAAATTTATGAATGACAGCTTCTTATATGACATTGTATTGAATTAAATAAATAATTTAACCAAACCATTTCAGTCAATTGATTTGATATGAAATAAGTATCTTCAAACCATATTCACTGCTAACTCGGATACCTGCGTTTATGCCTACATTTTACTATAAAAGCCGTATCAAGCTTTATAAGCAAAAAAGCTTAGAGCTAAGCTTAAAAATCTAGCAATGAAATTTATATTTATTATGCAAAAATAACTATAACAGCTTAACTTGATATGTAGTGCCTTTACTTACCATGAAAATAAAGTCACTAAATGATTTTCTAATACAGCACATGTAGTTAGGTAATGCAGTCAAGTTCGAAGAATATCACGTTCAGCATCGCGTCACACTTAGAATAATAAACAAATACAATGTGAACCAGAGAGCAATATTTACTTCAGAGAATGTCAAAATGCCGGTTTTTTAAGGTTACCAGATATTCAAACAATTTAGAACAGGGATGTCCAGACAAGAAAACATCGCAGGCCAATACAAATCACTGAGTAGGTTAAAGGGCCGCAGAAAAAATTATATACTCGTATGTTCATAACTTTTCTGTGGATAAATAAAAATACAATATTAATATTAAATTTAGACGAATTCGAATAGCAAAGAAATAACACGGATAAAAATTTATTTAATTTATTGAAATTTGACTGACCATACAATGCTGCTTCGAGTATTGCCAAGTACTCATCATCAGTGGTTTTAATTTAATTCGATTTAAATAATCGAATTTTCTTAGTTTATATATATATACCATTTGATTAGAAAAGAAATTTTAATTTTTAATAATTTTCTTTATTATCGCCTTCAAAGTACTCTCCTCCTACGGCAATACATGCATGCCTACACTTGATCCAATTTTCCATACAAGTTTCATAGGTCGCCGAAGGTATGGCCTTTAGTTCACGCAGCGAATTCTCTTTTATGGCCTCTATGGTCTCGAAACGCGTTCCTCGCAATGGCAATTTGAATAGGGGAAGAGGAAAAAGTCACTCGGGGCCATATCAGAAAACAGTCAGCATAACCTTGATTTTGGACCGACTTTGGTGTTCTCTTTTCGGTTTCTGCTCACCTTCGAAGCACCATTCGGTCGATTGTTGTTTGGTGGGCATCTCAAATTCATAGATAGATAGACCCATGTCTCATTACCAGTTATGATACGTTCGATGAATTTGGGGTCACTATCCGCGTTGGAAATCATCTCTTTGGCCACATCACAACGACGATGTTTTTAAATGAAATTTAGTTAAAAATTGACACCCGAAAATATTTCGACTTCTTTGTATAGACACCAAACAAAAACTAATCGTACGATATGCGTTAAACTTTGACAGAATGTGTATAATAGTCTTGCCAGCGTGAAAATAAAAAAAATTTACCGATTGGATAAGCGCGGGAATTCAAGAAAAGAACGAATAAATTTTTTTTTGATCACAAGGTATACATATTTTTTAACACCCTATGCTTCACTGGAAGTTAATGGAACAAAAAAGAAAGGAGAAAAATTTATCTTTTATAATTCTATTAATATCAACATTATTAGTATTAATTGTTATCAGACGAAAAATATTTTATGTTAGACTAATGGTACTGGTTTTTCGAACCCTTGCATAAAAAAATATACTCTAAAATCTTTGTCCACTAACTTAATCAACGTGAAGTGTAACCCATTATTTAAAACATTTTTATTCGTTAACTTGGAATGCCATAAATGTAAAATAATATAATTTTACTAAAATATAACAAATAAGAATTTGCTTAATTTTGGTAGATTAGAAACATCTCGCGGACAACACAAATATTAGCCGTGGACCACAGGCCGTGCATTGGACAGCCCTAGTTAAGAACATAGAATTTGCTTTAAGACAACATGCTTATAAGATAATTCCTTGTACAGTTTCGAAAGTAAGAAATAAGACACATTTGTGATGAATGTTTTTATAAATTTTGTACTTCAGTATATTGTTTTGATTTTTATATTATAAACATCTTGCAGTAGTAGATACTTTGATATAACTTGTTGGCACATTGCTGTCAGCCTAAATTATGGATCTTCGTCAAGGTGTTTCGAACCGGCAGAAGCATAAGGTGGAACTCCAATGAACAGTGACTCTGAACTTCAAATTTAGGAGGGTTATTATTTACAAATAATTTTTTTTCCAATAAATAATTGTATAAAAGGCATTTAAATAATATCAAATCAATATTTAACAATTACAATTGTTTGCAATGAGGTAATTAAGAGTCATTAAGAGAAAGAGTGACATATATAAAAATTTCCACATTGGAACAAATAATTAAATATAAAAAATAATTCCAAGATTGTTAATGATAGATATTTGGCAGTACGTGAAACAACTAAAAATTAAATTACTTAAAAAATAAATTAGAATTTTGTTGCTGCTATTAAGCATTGTTTGAAACCTCTCTATCATCAAGAAGTGAAATAGCAAGATCGAGATTCAAAATATTCAAAATATTTATTCAAAATAGCAAAAACGGGGCATGTGTAAGTTACGTTATTGCATCGTTCCATTGAAAGCAAAATTGTTCCAAACCACATTTTAAGTATTGTGGTAAAAAAATAAATAATAATGTGAATGTAGTAATCAGAGTTAACGGTTTTTATCATATATTCGCCATTTTTAATAAAATACAGGTCTGTCACACCTCCAGATCATATAGTGACTATTTGTGATTACGATAATCTTTCGGTAGTAACTTGTAGATTTTCGCTTTTCCAAATGCGACAATTTCGCTTACATATCCATCTAGTTAGAAATAATGCCTTTATTAAGGAAAATTTGAATTTTCAATTTTGCCCTTATTCAGCAGATTTAAATAATTTATATTTTTAAATGGGTACGTACCACTAAGCTGAACAAGTAATGCCTTGAATGAAGTTCTGATTGATATATGTACTGAAACACTGTTGCTATACTAACACCATGAAACGGATAATTCATAACATTCATGGAATAAATTAGTACTTAACAATATATCTTTTTCAGTTGTTATGGGAAAATCCAGTAAATATATATAACAAATCTAGACTAAATTTAATGACAAAAGATTAATTTAACAACAGAACATTTCCACTTAAAACTACAAGATTAAAATAGAAAGCCATTTATAATAGTTTCTCATACCTCTGGCAAGGATAGCATATTTATTCCCAGTTAATATTTCACTCTTTTCATTATTCTAATAAATAATATTTTTTCGTTGGCCAAGGATAAACACAATATGGAAAATTATTGAATATTTGTATAATCAAGAACAGATATGCGAAAGATGATAACTGATGTTATAAATTAATATTAACAACTAAAATTTTAAATTAATATTGATAACTTAATTATTATTATTAATTAATTAATACTAACATTAACAAAAATTTTTAGAACGAAATACTCCACAAAAATTTTTATTCACAAAACCTCTTCAAGATCGCAAAAGTACTTGGAGATTACTTCAATAATTTCAGTTCAGGTTTTATAACTATTATTCATGAATTGTAATATATGTTAGATTCTCTCACATCTATGTAGCGTATAGTAGCTATTTTAATACTCATCACCCAGTTATGGGATAGTAAATTTTAAAACAAATCTGAACAGTTAATAATAGACTATATTTGTAAGGCCTATATTTGGAATATCCGCCAGGGCTTATTAACTAATAGACATTGATAGTAAATGATTCAAACTACACATTTGTATGAGAAGTGTTCAATTTTTTCTTCTCTCCCTTCTTTTTGGCATCTTCGATATTTCAGGGTTAAGGTAATACCTAACTTTACAGCATGGGTAGAACAATATTTTATATCCACATAAGTTATAGCTTAGTCATATTTTGGAGGCCACCGTAGTTTTTAGTTGTGACAGACTTTGTTTAATTCGGAACTACCGTGAACTCCAAATATGAATCCTTCTAGAAACTCAATAAATATTACTTGCGTGTAATTTTTATTTTGGGCTTAGTAGGCAATTGAGAAATAAAACCCTCTCTCGACAAATAAAATCACGCTTCACAAGTCTCTTGTCATGCCTGTCCTGCTGCATATTGCAGAAGCTCAAACAATTACCAACAGTGATGAACAGGAGTTAGTGGTATTCGAAAAAAATTCTTCGAAAGATAGAAGATTACGCGTTGTCAACGAGTATCGAATTAGATGAAACGATAAGCTATACCGCAACATTGACATAGTTGAGTCACAAGGCGGTAACAACTACTTCAGCGAACGTTTAAGTGTAGAAGCAAAATGCAAATTACTGAAAATCCTTAAAGACCTACTGAAGCTTAACTAACGCAAGGATTATACTATGCAATACTGGAAAAAAGGAAAAAGGTAGTCCATTTTGTAAGTTAGTATCAAATCTTTAAGGAGCTACGTGGCATATTGAAAAAAAAACGTGAGATATTAACATGTCGTTGTTTCTGACTTGTGAAAGCAAATAAAGTATGATCTAATCTATTTCTGTCCAGATATTAAAATTAGATATAAACTTTTTTTAAAATTTAAGTTGCCTAAATGTACAAAATGTACCACATTTAATATGTAGTAAGTTTATGGGTTGTATATTTGTGACACAACTAACAAAGATAATGCTATCACAAATAATAATCCTAAGAAATGTTCAGTCCAGGATCCCCACGTGCTTAACCACAGACCACTTATAATCTATACATCCAGATGAGTTCAGTGCTTAGTCGAACATTATCGTCACATTTTTTTTTTTTGCCTAGAACACTCCAGGATTCCTATGTGCTTGACCACAGTCCACTAATAAACTATATGAATGAGTTCAGTGCTTAGTCGAATATATTCGTTATGTTTTTTTATTTAAAAGTTTTGCATAGTGACGGCTTTGTACAATCTCAGAACACTCAAAGGTATAATGCCAAAACACTTGATATAAACACACTGAATAATGCAGTGCTCCTAATTTACAGAAAAAAAAA